CTTTGTAAGCTGATCATTTTCTGCCCTTGGCTTTTCTGTGGGGTTCTTATTGTTTGTACCATTGAGCTTTCCAGTATGCCAAATTTTCCAGTACCCAGTCTGGGAGATCAGGGGCAAAAAGAAAATCCAGAGAACTGAATGCTGTAATGTTCCTTGGGTCCACTAGCCAGACTGCTTTTTTTCTTCTCCTTTCAGTCTTCTTATATTGTTTTACATTTAGTGTCCAGGATTTTTAGATGTAGTAAGAGGAATAAAAAAATGTATGTCTATTCCCTTGAATTGGGAATGCGTGTTCCAGATGCAGAAGTCACAAATTATAATCACTCCCTGGCCAGACATAAATTTTCAGTAAGGAAATTAAAATACTGTTATTTCTAAAATGTTTAAAAGCAATTAGTCTTAAAAAAACTTTTAAAATTAACCTTTTCATTTCAAAAATATTGTTCTACATCAAGGAAAAATATAAAATAAGCAATAGGGTAGTCTTGCAACCTACCAATATAGACATTTTCTTATGAGGGATATTTGGTCATCTTTTAGCAATGTATTCTTTATATTCTTAATTATAAAGCATAAATTTTAATATTAGGACAAAAGAAGTATTTCTGACAAACTAACATGCTTCTTTCACTTAATATTAAGAATTATACTCATATTTTCATATTCCTTTTACTACCAGCCCATTCAGACCTAAATTTTGTTCTTAATTTTAATCTATTTGCATATCTTAATTATTCTGGAAATACTACTGCTCAATTATCCTTTATTATATGGTTCTGAGTCTTTGTTTTATGATTCTCATCTGTTTGTGATGGTTTCAAAACAAACTCTCTCACTGAAAACAGATAAAGTAGAACAATGGGCTTTCTAAATTTTCTTTAGAAAGGACTTACAAGAGGCTATCTGATCAAAAGAGTACTATAGGAGAATTTTTAAGCTGTATTCATAAAGTGAGTACATATTCACTTACATTTCTTTTTTTCTTTAGTATGGCTACAATTTGGAGAAGTAGCACATCTTTCCTAAATCCCTGACAGATGCTATTAGTGTTTATAAAAGAACATTCACAGTTTGTTCTATTTATTTATTTATTTAACAAATATTTATTGAATGCCTACCTAACACTGTTCTAGATGTTGGGGATACAGCAGTCTTCTGTTCTCCTGGAGGTTCTGGTCTAGCAAATGAAAGGAGTATGTTATCTGTACTGCCATGAATAAGGCGATGTCATCCTTTACAATATTGTGCAGGAATTGAAAAGGCACCCAACAAAAGAAAAAAAAAATTGAAAAGGTTAGACTAAAAGCAAACATAAAAACACAAATTTTCTCCTCTAATTTCATAAATTCAAACTAATAGCAATCATTAGGTTGTTGGCAGTATCTCAATATATATTTTGAGAGATAACTGTCTGTTCTATCAGTTACCAGTATTACCCTAGAAAGTTATTTAACTTCTTTAAGCTTAATGTTCTAACAGTAAAATGAGAGTGGAATACTTACCCAGCTTGATTGTGATAGTTAAAAAATATGCCAAATTTAACTTACCTAGCACATTGTTTGGCTCATCAAAACCACATGTATATCTGTTTCTTTTCTTCCCCCAGCCCTTTTACTGAATGCTTATAAATCACTTTTGTTGACACATTAATTTAACAAGTTTTTAATACTCTTCCACCACTATTATATTGAATAAAAGCTTAGAACTTTGTTTTTGCAATCTTTTGACAGTGTCAATTTATTGAGAAGGGCTATAATAAAAACATTTTATTTTATTTTTTTAAAAGATTTTATTTATTTATTTGTAGAGAGAAAGGAAGGAAAGGAGAAAGAGAGGGAGAGAAACATCAGTGTGTGGTTGCCTCTCACACGCCCCCTATCAGAGACCTGGCCTGCAACCAGGCATGTGCCCTGACTGGGAATCAAACCGGCAACCCTTTGGTTCAGAGGCCAGCACCCAATCTACTGAGCCACAGCAGCCGGGGCTAAAATCTTATTTTAAATGTTTAAACTATTTCAAGAAAATAAGATATTGTGTGTGAAAAAGAAAGAAGCTGCCAAAAAATGCAATGAATCTAGTGGAAATTATTCCATATTCCCAAATTTTTACAAAGAATAATAATTCTACAGCCATCGAATGACTTTAAATAATACATAGGACAATGAGCAAACAATGAACTCCTTAATCTAAGATTCTCTTTTAACTCATATTTATATTTCATTTCAACTTAATAAACATTCTTGCTTTTTCTTGTGATTAGAAAATTAATTTGAATGTATTATTAGGGAAAAAGATAAACATGTTATCACCTAGAGAGAACCCATTTTGCAATATATATTCCATCGTGTTTATGCAACAATGAAATATGACATAGAAACCTCTTGATATCACATATTATAATAAGTTTCATAGTTTCTGTCTTATAAAATTTCTAAAGGAGAGTAAATGGCAACAGGGTGAAACATAATTAAATATAAACAATCTAGTAGGCAATGGGTATATAGCAGAATGATGGGGTGCAGGTATACAAAACTTTAATGGTATAATTTAATCCAAGGATAGTATTTAGAGTAGCTAGAAGAATGGATTGAGTATTCATCAGGCTGTAATCCCAGGAATATTATTTTTCTTAATTGTTTTTTGATGAGTATCAGTGAGTTTCAGAAAGTAGAATGTAAGATTAGGCCTCGGACACATCTGGCGTACTAACAGTTTATTTCTTCAATTAAGGGATAATCCATACACCTAAAACCGTCACATGAACTGGGGATTCTCTGGAGAGTTACAGCGCCAAGATGGCTGAGTGGATTGAAAATGAGATACAGTACCTTTAACCTTTTGACCACAAGGTCCTCATAAGATAGGATGAGGATAGCCAAAAGTCATTATTGGTCAATATCTTATAAGAGGCAAAATGAATTACTTAGCTTGGTTCATTTTTTATTACCATTGAGAGCTATTTGCTATCAGTTGTAGATCCAGAGTGACCCTTTACCACTAAAGTTCATTTATCCTCAACAGGACCAAGATATTTTTCTTCAAAACATATATGTGCCATTATTTTGGTTGCTTTGTAAACTTTCTGGGTAGTCTATTCATCTACTTTTACTAAATCTAAGGAAATGGGTTTAAAATGTACACTATTAAATAGAGAAATTTGACTTGGGTTTTTTTCTAATTACTATTCTGCTCTAAGCCTAAGGTAGTTGCCTGTGTCTTTTCCAGATAAAGAAGCTATAATGTCTTTTTCTCAGTACTAAAATAAACACATTTGTGCTTTGAGAATTATGCAGTTTCTTTGCTCTTTTTAGTAATTAATTGCTGCCTGGATTGTGTCTGCTGAATGTTTTTGTTCTTTTGCTAATTCAAGGTTTGTGGGATTGTTCTGTGAGATATCTGAGAAGCAGATGTTGTGTACTCCGTATCAAATTCAGTTGGAATTGTTGCTCATTAATGTGTCTTAGTTTTAATAACCCTATAGTATATACTTTCTAATATATTATCAATGTACTCACAGAAATGAATGAGGAGGATTAAAAAGAAAAAGAAAAGCAAAGACCAAGTAGTTAGTCATTCATAGAAAAATAAGGTCTTGTCACAAACCCTGGTGTCCTGTATCCAGGATTAGGAAAAAATGTTCAATACATGTCTGCAATAATGCATAACCAAACAGGTACTAGGTTTCATATTTTCCAATTCTGAAAGCAAATGTTATGTGGCTGAATATTTAGCAAGCATCTAACACATGGCACAGAGGTTGACAGGAAGATTAATTGGATATGGATTTAGTTTGCAGATAACATATAATAGAACATAAGCAAATTGTAAGCCAAGAACATTCTTGCTTTCCTTCATAATCTTAGTATCTAAAAGAGTGCCTTGATGAAGCCAATTTAGAGTTTGGAATTTTTTATGGATGAGAGAGCGTAATTGAACTCTGAGAATCAGAGATTTGCTAGAGTAGTGAAATAATGGATCCCCAAAAAATATCTACTCGAAAAATATCCATAGAAAGGCATTTGACCAATTTAGTTCTCTATTATCTAGAGCTAGTATACTTTTCTACTATAGTAAAAGTACAAAATCATTATATATAATCCCATTTTGATGTATTTTCATGTGACTTCACATTTTCTTCATACATTCCATACTGGTAAAAATACTAATTACCCCCAATCACTAGAAGATCAGAATTAGAAAATAGAGGAAGTAAAATTCAGATTATTTATTCCATTAATTAATTATGATAAAAGTTCTGAGAGCAAATTTAAAGTGAATTTCTTGTATACTTGTATAATTCAACTATTTATGCTTTTCCTTTTTATTACTTAGGACTGAGATTAACTTCAAGTAATGCGAATAGCTGAAGTGTATTTATAAAAATAGGGTTTAATGCATTTTCAGTAATTCAGCCTGTAATGTGTAAAAGGATGGAAACACTGCAAATGAGTTTTTGTTTATCTACATGTATGTATAAACACTTGAATAAAATGTAGCTCTTTGGATGGGGCACAGGGGAAAAGAAGGGTCATAAATTTTTTTCTCAATTTCATTGTGTAGCAGAACAAAATGTTAAACTCTTCCACTGAGTTCATCCAAACAAATTCCATACTCCCCGTCATCAACATGAAGTTCCTCTTCAAAATCAGCAACATATGAAACATGAATGTACCTAGGGAGGCAAAGTTACTTCATGTTTTTCTCGTGGGTTTTCCTGATAACAATCGCCTGTGTTTTCCCATTTACCCGTAGCCTCGTCAGAGACCCCTCAGCACTTCCATAGATCCATCCTTCCAGAGGACACAGATCACAACAAACCTACAGAAACAGGAAATCAGACTTCCTGAGTCCACTGCAAAACACAGAAACCTGTTTCCTCTACACATTTCATATTGTCAGAGCTCTGTCTTAGCAGATTCAGTGTGGAAGCAGCAGTTGAAAAGGCTAGAAGGACTAACATCCTCAAATTCACATGAGCTTTCTTTCTTCAAACTACTGAGATGAAGGGAGCAAGGCTATTTGTCCTGCTTTCTACTATATGGAGTGGGGGTTTTGGACTTAGTGAGACTACACAGACTTGGACTACATCCAGTGATGAAAACTCCCAGAAGAATGTAACCTCTGCTTTAACTCCTTTAAATGAAACGCAAAGTCTCCAAATGCTTCCAACCTCTCAGATGCCAGCTGAGATGGCCACTGAGGCAACTACCACGGAAAAGAGTCTTCTACCATCAGCATTGTATCCCTCAGACACAAGTGCATCTCCGGAGGGTGCAAGTAAGCCAGCCCTCACATCCACGCAGAAGACCGAAAGGGTGATAAAGTTACAAACTCTACCTTCCCGATCCAAATCTAGCATCAAGTTAAGTCCTGGAGGAGAGTCAGTGGTCCTTTCCAACTCCACACTGAAATTTCTTCAGAGCTTTGCCAGAAAGTCAAATCAACAAGTGATTTCTCCAAACTCAGCTGGCAGCTTGGGAAATCGATCCCCGCGGGAAATAGATCTCAGCAGAGGTGACACCAGAGAAAGCCAGAGAACCAACTATCAAAAATCAAGCTTTGAAACAACTAGAGGAAAGTAAGAAACATTCCTTTCTTCCTTTTCTACCTAACTGTAAGATCTATAAGATTGCAAGCTAACAGTTAAACTATCTCGCTCCCACAAAATGATTATTATGTTCAAGGTGAAATTAAACCATATTTCAATTAAGATAAGGTTACCTTATCTAATGGGGAAAGGGTGAACAAAAAAAATGCGGCAATTTTATTTTTTTATTTTTTATTATGTTTTATTGATTTTGCTATTACCGTTGTCCCAATTTTCCCCCCTTGAGCCCCCTCCACCCAGCACCCCCCACTCCCCCAGGCAATCCTGACACCACTGTTCATGTCAATGGGTCATGCATATAACTTATTTGGCTACTTCATTTCCCGTACTGTACTTTATATCCCCTGGCTATTCTGAACCACCTATATGTATTTCTTAATCTCCTCATCTCTTCACCCATTTCCCTATTCCCCTCTCCCATCTAGCAACCACCCAAACACTCTCAGGATCCATGATTCTGTCTCTGTTCTTGTTTGCTTAGTTTATTTTATAGGTTCAGTTGTTGACAGCTTTGTATTTATTGCCATTATATTCTTCACAGTTTTCATCTCCTTTTTTCAGTAAGTCCCTTTAACAATTTGAGCTCCTTTAGTTTTTTTCCTTGTCTGGGAAGCTCTTTATCTTTGACTCGAAATGATATCTCTGCAGGGTAGAGCAATCTTGCCTGTAGGTCTCTGCTTCTCATAACTGAATATTTCCTACCAGTCCCTTATAACCTGCAAAATTTCTTTCGAAAAATCAACTGACAGTCTTATGGGGACTCCCCTTTAACTAACTGCTTTTCTCTTGCTGCTTTGAAGATTCTCTCTTTATCTTTAACCTTTGGTATTTTAATTATGATATGTCTTGGTGTGGGCATCTTTAGGTCCATCTTGTTTGGGACTCTCTGTGCTTTCTGGACTTGCATGTCTATTTCCTTCAAATTAAAGAAATTTTCTTTCATTATTGTTTCAAATAGATTTTCAATTTCTTGCTTTTTGTCTTCTCCTTCTGGCACCCTTATGATGCACAGGTTGGATGCTTGAAGTTGTCCGAAAGGCTGCTTACACTATCCTTATTTTTTTTTGGATTCTTTTTTTCTTCCTGTTGTTCTGATTGGTTGTTTTTTGCTTCTTGTGTTCCAAATCATTGATTTGATTCTCAGCTCCATCCATCCTCTTGTCGTTTCCCTGTAAATTGTCCTTTATTTCAATTAGTGTATCCTTTGTTTCTGGCTAGGCCTTTTTTATGCTGTTGAGGTCCTCACTAAGTTCCTTGAGCATCCTTATAAACAGTGTTTTGAACACTGCATCTGATAGACTGCTTATCTCCATTTCATTTAGCTCTTTTTTTTTTTTTGAGTTTTTATCTTTTCTTTCATTTGGGACATGTTTCTTTGTCTCCTCATTCTGGCCACCTCCCTGCATTTGTTTCTATGTATTAGGTCGAGCTTCTTTGACTCTGTGTCTTGGTAATGTGGACTAATGCAGTAGGTGTCCTGTAGGGTCAAGTGGCACAGCCTCCCCTATCAACCAAGCTGGGTACTCGAGGAGTGTCTTTCATGTGGGCTAAGTATGCACTCCTGTTGTAGTTGAGCCTTGGTTGCTTTTGGCAGGTCAATTGGAGGGATTTACCCAGGCCAGTAAGTTGTAAGGATTGGCTATGAACAGTGACCACCAACCTCCACCCTCTGTGGAGAATCAGCTGTGCAGGGGCAGGGTGATGGTACTATGATGGTATCCACTGGTTGCGCAAGCTCTGAGGTTTCCTGGGTGGTGCAGGCCAAGGTCAACACCCACCTGTGTTTTATCTGGGGCTAGTCCCCCCTAAGCTGTAGAGCAATTGGAGATGGCTGCTATTTGTGCTGGACTTGGAGATTCCTAGGTGAAGCCAAGCTGTGAATCTAGGCTGGTTGCTGCTAATGTTGTGCCTTGGGGCACTTAGCCAGGAGATAAGGGAGCTGGGGGTTCACTGAGGCCAGCTGTTGCTTGTTTGGAAGGATTTAGGGAGTTATAAAGCATGAGCCAAGACCAGCAATTCATATTGAAAAACTACTGTTAATAGCTATAAGTTGGGTGGGTTGGAGTCTCAGATATGGTACCCACATGTCAGCTCTGTGGCTCTGCCTGCCTTTCTGTCTGGGAGAAAGCTGTTGCCAAACTCTTGACTTGATGCCAGACACTCCCTGCATCCACTGGTGCCTTTCAAGCTGCTACCCGGTGGAGCTCGGAAGAAGTAAATCTAAGTAAGTTTGTGTGGAGGTCCTTTAGAAGGAACTGCTTTGGACTCTGGAAGTTTCTTCCACTGACTCAATCCCTGTTGGTTTTTGCAGCCAGAAGTTATGGGTGCTTATCTTCCAAGCACTGGTACCCTGGGCTGTGGGCTTGGTACGGGGTTGGGATTCCTCACTCCTGAGATATCCCTCCCGAATTTTTACCCACCACAGGTGGATGTGGGACCAACCTGTTTCATGTCTCCGCCTCTCCTACCAGTCTTGATGGATGTGGTTTCTTTAATTCTGTAGTTGTTAGACTTCCATTCAACTCATTTCTGCCAGTTCTGAGTGAAGGTTTTTCTATAATTTAGTTGTAATTTTGATGTGGTTGTGTAAGGAGGCAAGCCATGTTTACCTATACTGCCATTTTGACTGGAAGTCAGCAATTCTATTTCAATTGAAATTGTCATAGTCACTTGTGGAGGTGCTTTTAGTTGGGATAGTTACTAACAAAGAATGTAACAGCACAGTAACAGTTAGTGTAGTTAATTTAACTCAAGGGTATATTGATTTGTTCAGTACTATACCCACAACATGAAAGAAAATATGTCAGTATAGTTGGGATGTGAACAGATTTAAAAATTGAAACAACCTGGTGTTGTGGAAAGTATACTGTTTTCAAAATCAAGCCAAGTAGTCCTGGGTTGGAATACTGACTCCAGTACTATCTAGATCCATAACTTTGAGAAAGTCAATTGATTTTCCTGAACTTCAGTTTTGTCATATGGCAAGTACAGATATGGTATGAGAAGTACAAGTAAAAAACTATAACTTTGCAGGCTAATTATGCAAGTTTCAAATTAATGAAATATGCTTAGATGCATTCTTCTCACAGAATAGATGCTCAACCAATCCTATTTTACTAGTAATGTTATATTGAGTTATGTCATCATCATGAATGTGATGAATAAAAATGCCAATTTTTTGAATTGATTTTTTTTATTTTAAAATATATTTTATTTATTTACTTTTAGCGGGAAGGGACAGGAGAAAGAGAAGGAAACATCTATGTGTGGTTGCCTCTCATGTGCCCCCTACTGGGGGCCTGGTCTGCAACCCAGGCATGTGCCCTGACTGGGAACTGAACCAACAACCCTTTGATTCACAGGAGGGCACTCAATCCATTGAGCCACACCAGCCAGGGTTCAAATTGATTTTGATTTAAAGTTAGAACAAACTCAAATTGAATTATTGAAGTAAATTAACAAAACAAAGCTTAAAAGAGTATCATTAAAGACTTTCAAAAGGACCAAAAAAAAATACCTGTGTAAAATGCAGGTCAATATTTTATTCTTTTAATATTCAAAGTTATCTGTATAGTTCAAATACTAAAAGTTTAGTGTTATGAAACTCAACTTTCAAATACCTTTTATCTGTAATAAGATAATTTCAAGATACCAAATAATGCTTTAAGTGTTTAAGTGAGTTGAACCCCTTACTAACTATAACACATAATCCAAGCTAATAATAGCAGCTTATACCTGCTATGTGAAAGACATTGTGTTCAAGTTGTTTTTAATCAAATGATAAAGAGATGGACAAAATACAGGCCAATCGATTCACATTTGTGTATTTTTCATTCATTGTATTTCAAAGGTTATAGAAATTTTAAAAATCCTTAAGTAAATCTGATTTTAATTAAAAACATATAGTTGGTGGAATTTGGAAAATTCCCAATTTACTGTAAAACAAATGTTACAAATTACAAAATGTTCAACTTGGGATGAGTAGCTTTTGTCTATAATAGACATTTTAACAGATATAAATTAAACTTTCTCATGTTTAGTGACAAGAGAATGTGATCTATGAAATAGTAACAAATGTTACTTATTGAGAGCCTTTTCTAAGCCACTTACATGATCATTTCTATTAACTGTATTTTGTTAACTCCTATAATTTAATTTTTAAACCAATCATATAGAACTCAGTCACTCACAGGGGATTATTGGAAACTTTTTTAGAGATGTTGTCATCAAAAGATTTTCAATTGAATAGGAAATATAATTAAAAGATTTTTCAAATGAAAATACCACTTAAAATTTATATAGCCTATAGAAAGTCACATATAATTGTTTCATAATTAGAACTAGTAACTGGCAATTAAAATACTAGTTTTTCCTTTTCTTGTTTCTTTTATTTTCTATTGCTGACACCATTACAGATGCCCCCCATTTTGCCCTTCTTTGCCCCCCGCCCCCAGTTCCTGGCCCTTGCCCGTCTGCGGCCTTCACCACATTGTTGTCTGTTTCCATGGGCTGTGCATATATGCTTTTTGTCTAACCTCTTCCAGTCCCCATCCTTTCCCCTCCCCTCTCAGATTTGTCAGTTTGTTCCATGTATCCATGCTTTTGGTTTTATCTAAATAGTACTTGTATTAAGTAAATTCTAGTCATTTAATCTAAAAACCTCACTTTTAAAGCTTGTGAAGTGAAACTATTTATTTGACTATTCTTTACTCATTGCCTATTATATGCCTAACACTGTGCTAGTTTCTGGGGATACGTAGAATTTTAAAAATAGGAATAATTCCTGTCTTCAAGGAATATGTCACGTAAAAGGTAAGCACTGACACATGAATCATATTTTTAAAAATGTAATGTTAGGAGAAAACAAATTATTAGAGGTGTAACCTACTGAACAGAACTTTATTCCATGGACTTTCCCATGAAAATAATATTAAATTATTTCTAGAGAAACCAACCATACTGAGAGATTC